CCGGGAAACCCAATTTTTGGAAATAACCAAGGTCACAAAGCACGTGCCTGCCATCAGGTTACATTTCCAGTCTCACAATATCCTTATTTTTTTATGACTGGATCAGCGGGTTGGAAAATCATTTATAATACACCATATTATAACATGCTAAGTATAAAAAATATCAAACACCTACTACTATCACCCACTGGAGTATCTGCTCAAAGTATAGGAAGTAAAACTATACACTCTTCTCTTAAAATTAGACAATTTGTTGGTCGCTATCAAACACTTGCACTAGAAAATGAAAATTCAAAAATTGAACTCCTAGAATATAAAGCATTAATAATTGACAAAATTTCAATGGTATCAAGCGAACTACTAACCTTTATAAGCAACATGTTTAGCACACTATATAGAAACCATAAAGCCTTTAAAGGAATTTAAATACTTGTAATTGTATATCTAGCACAACTGCCCCCTATTAATGGACAATAAGTATTATTTTCCCTGGTATGGAAATTATTTTTTCCTCTTTTCTTAATACAGCCAAAATGACAAAAAAGCGATCTAGACTTTTACAATCTACTACAAGAAATAAGATTCGGTACACTCTCTGAGAAAACATTAAATACAATAAATGAAAAAATTTCCAATTCAATAAATCTGGATATGATGATAAACTCGACACATATAGTTGGTCTTAGACAAACTGCGAATGAAATTAACACTTTAATATGCAACAACTTACCGCACAGTGATGAAGATTCAGATACTATTATATTAAAACCTGTAGATATATATGATAACCAGATCCTTGACAGTAATAATAATCCCTTCCATTTCAAAAACTGTACTAATCTCCCAGATGAAATCATTCTTCAAGAAGGTGCAAGAGTAATATATCTCAACAACAAACTCTTTAACCATGGCATATGTAATGGAACCATCAGCATAATAACCAAATTAATAAATAAAAATGACATTGAAGTCACTTTTCCAATAAATAACACGAAAATCCTTATCAAAAAAACAACAGTATACTTCAACATCAACGGTGTTCAAGCATCCAGGCACCAATTCCCAATCCAAAATGCATTCACATTAATTGTCTACAAAACACAATGCCTTACATTACCACACACAACCATAACAATAGACAAAAACATGTTCACCACCGGCCAAGTTTATGTAGCAATGAGCAGAGCCCCATCATGGAACTCAATTAATATACTCTCCTTTGATCCCACCTCAATAAAAATAGATGACGTTTTACCGAATACAGAAGACTAAATCATAAATCAAAATGGCCTTAAAAAATTTAATTAACCATACTTAAAATAAAAATTTTATAAAAACTTTAAACAAATACTTACAAAATCTAGCTATTATATTTTATATGCACCCACGAATACTTAAAAAATTCCATAAACATTTATATATATTAAACAAATTAAATAGATAACATTATCATTTAACTTACCAAAATAAATACACTATTTATATATACATATCACACACTAATTAACAAAACCCCTCGCACATACCTTAAAAACACCTTGTTTTATTATAGAGAAGATTTTCAAATTTCCAAATTTTTTATAAAAATTGCACTTTTGGTCCAAATAGAACTCCGTATAAATAATCTTGCCAACAAACCAGATTTCAATAAATTTAAACATGCAAGTCGATACATCACATTCAACCCAGCACAAAATATATTACACTCTACTCTCGTTATAACAGACCCTGACGTAGTAATTTTCTAAAACAATTTGAAATTATTATTATTATATTATAACGGATATTTATTTATTATGGATATAATGGACAAAATATTTCAGCCCGAAGGGTCCGTTATAACGAGGGTAGAGTGTAATATTGTGAATCAAAGATACAGCTAAATATTACTCGATAATTCTAAGTGAACTTATTTGTTCATATATTGAAACAAATTAAAATCGTTTCTCACGTGTGAAATACAGTTTACCCCAGTTAATATCAACCTATTTGAATCCAGTAATTTGGTTTATATATGCGGGGTTGATAACAAAGGGGGTTGGCTATTTATGTATTATAAAGCTTTAACCAACAAGAAACTGCATTTTAAAACAAAAGATAAGGATAGTATCGGTATTACTTGTCATTTTTTATGCACCTATGGTTCTTCTTTTTCCCCAACTAACTAATGCTTTTCACGAGTTGTACATTTCAATCATATCGATATTATCTATACTATCGGTTCTCAAAATGGTTAATTAATGTCAATATACACTATCTAAATTAGTAGCTAATCATATTGAGCATGCTGTTTAAGATGCAAAATTTGTACATTACGGCACATTTGTAAACTATCCAAAATTTGAAAAATTCTACTGCTAATACATAAATAGTAATTTTGGCTAAGATAGTCAATGCCTCCTAGGTTAAGGTGCGTCATTATAATAAATTTATATGTCTAATGAAATGTGTCAGAGTGGGAAGATGGGTTAGACGCATTGTTATTATAGATCGGAGTGCCTTGATTTTTTTTTACCAGTACGATCACATGCAATGTGAAGGGATGGTTGCATAATTCCAATACAAACCAAACCAGAATTACCTATATAGAATTCGTGATAATTACATTGAAAACTAGCTCGACCTTAATTGAGTAAGCTCTTAACAGAATTTTTTACAGTAAAAATCATGATAATTCTGATGTATTCTGATGCAAACTAACTCAATTATAGATAAATCATGATAGTTCCAATACAAACTTAAGTACAATACTACCTTAATTCTAGCCATGTAATACAGTTGCCGAAATAGAGATAGGTTTTGTAATAAAATTTTTTCACAGTAGAGATAGAATAATTTTAATACGAACTAACATTCACATAAAAATCACGACAATGGAACTAATCCATGTTTTATAATTATCAGGATATCAAGTAAATTCTGCATAATTTTTTCCAATAATATGAAGCATATTGTTTTCAATACAAGCCATTAAACACTGTATGTACCGTATTAGTTAATAAATTCTGTGACAGAATTTTTTACTATAACTCATGGTAGAAACGACTTTGACCACTTTGTGCGATCATTGGAATACAAGGAAGTTTATAACAACATATTTACCACAATTAATGATGAAAAACATGATAATTTCAATACAAACCAATTCAACCTTAATATTAATAACTGTGTAGTAATTTCTGTAACTGAATGCTTAACAGTAACTCATAGTAGAAATTACGATAATTCTAACCATTATATACCACTGGAATAGCGAGTAAGTTTTTACAAGAATATTTACAGTAACTCATGAAAGAATTGCGATAATTCTGGCATAAACTAACTAGATCTTAATATATTCTATGTGCTAGTGAGATGTAGTATAAGTTTTGGAAGAGTATTTTTGCAGAAACTCATTATAGAAATCACGATAATTCAGGGATGGTAAATTAGAGGCCATTTGCCTTTTTTTCAAACGACTTAGGTCATTTTGGACTGAAATTCATAATAAACTTGGGGTCATTTGAGGTCATTTGAGGTCATTTGAAGGTTATTTGAGGGTCATTTACCATTCCTGCGATAATTTGAATGCAACTCAATTGCAAATATATATCACCAGATTAAATTATATAGATCTAAACGTATCCTATTGGTATTTTATTCCTGGTTTAATGCAACAACGTTGTACAACTATCTTAAAGGTTTTGAATTTTTCTTGTACGTACGTACATACCGTACTGCCTGTGCGGTATCACATGCTGTGCAGCTATCTTATGTCTACAAAACTTAAATTTGGGGACAAAAAATCAGTTAAATGCGCCAAATGCTAAAATCTGATTGGTGAATCCGTCGTTTCACGTGATTTTATTTAATGCTTATTGGCTAGGGATATCAACGGGGGAATATTAATTATAAAAAAAAGTACTTTATATTATTAATAAAGTTAAATATGCGGGGGAATTTTTATATATGGAAATTTATTTTGTTGATAAAGTTGAAATTAACGGGAGGTTGATATCAACGGGGTTGATATTAACGGAGTAAACTGTATATAACTGATTTCAAACCCTGGCAGAAAAAAACACTCAGCGCATGAGCAGGCGAACATCTTGCTATTATTACAAAATCATTTTGTAAACCGCAGTAAATACAGTACTGCAATTAATTGTCCCACAATCAATTACTGATAAGCATTATCCTGGTTTAGCGACCCCTCTTATAGAATAATGTACAGTACTAAAACATTATGACACTAAACCGTCAAAACGCCAAATCAATTGGTACTGTTACCATCGGTTGGGAGAGCAATTGTGGATGTTGATTTAATTTAGCTAACACTTATACACGTGATATGATGTCACGAAACTCTTAAGCTGAGTCGGGTTATCACTTTAACAGATCAAACTTTAATTATCGGGGGTAATTTATTATGTAACAAAATATAAGAAATGCAAGATAATAATAATAATAATAATAAATAATAATACAGTAATAAAAGAATATAACTAAACTAATAAACTAATACTACACATGTAAGAATCCGATTCTTATTATAAACACTATAACTAAGACATCGAAGGTTCTGAAACACATTGTCTTAATGAGACCTTGTCTGAAGAAACTCAACTAAGGCGGAAACCCAGGCCTTAAATACCTTTTACTTTACTAAGAGCTACTGCGCTATCTTTTAACCCCAATCTTCTAAGACTCTTTGTACTATTAACAAGACATCGATGTTGCGGGGCTGTGAATAATTTCCCACAGCCTTGGTTAATAACAATTGTTGCACGCATGCCAACAATTACCTGCTTATACAACAATCCATGGCCAATAACGGGTTTATCTTCTATCATACTTGTTGTATGTTAGATAAACAAACACTCACCGGAGTTAGTCTATGTTATTAGGCCTCCATTTGCCACCTAGGAGCTTCACAATATTCTTGTGGCTCAAGTCATTCGGGCTTTTAGTACTACCAAATCACACCGAAGTCACGGGTTTAATTCTAAAACCGTGACAGTTCACCATAACTATCAGATCATTATTATATAGTAATCAAATTATTTAATGATATATTATTGGCGAATATGCCAATAGTCATTCCATAATAAAAGCAAAGTACAGCATAAAACCCACTATACCATATCTCATAAGTACAGCGATCATCACTTTGATCCCTATATTTAATCAATCTAACACAAGTCCACGCTGTTACGGCAAAAAGAACAGTTTCAGTAATAGTGAATTCTGACGGAACAGATATGTTGAGCTTTTTGACACCAGGCAATATCAAAAAATAATTCGCAGAACCATATAGGAAAAATGCGGACAGGGCCAATGCTATGGCAGTTAGCCACCTACAAATGTTATCACCAATAAGAAGGGGTAATGTTTTACGACCAATAAGTTTGTCGCCTTTCTGATCCCGAAAATCTTGGACTTGAAGGGTGAACAACACAAAGATAACAACCGAAAGTTTAAATGGGCACGGCTCACAACCCCACCATTTAGATACTTTAAACTCAGTACCAATTATAAGATTACTGCTAACGACAAACATAATCCATGCACCAAAAGCCGAAAAACAATTCTTGCAGAGAGCATTGACATTAAGGTCAAGAAGCTTATAAGTGACAAACCATGCTTGCCAAATAAAAGCGCTGATAAGTAAAGGTAAACCACCGATGAGATAAGATACAATTGGAAATATTATGTTAAATGCGATTAACCGGCGTTGTGCTCCTTTAACTGTGACGAGGCCGGATGGAACAGGGCGAAAGGGTTTGTTAAGTTTGTCTTCTTCCACATCATCAAATTGATTTAACCTGTAAAATAAAGATCATAATTAAAATGATATTACAGGCTTTTCTTTTTTTTTACAATATCAATGTATGTAAAATTCTTACCAATTGAAGGAGATGAGAAAACTTAAGAAGTATATAGTGATTTTAAATAAGCGTGGGAGTAAGATTTTTTGTATAATCTCGAAGGATGAGAAATAATAATAAGGTGAAGTCACAACCGAACTAAAAAAGCGCATGTAAAATGCACCTAATAATGACAAAGAGCTAATATTAATACTACTGATTAAAATCCATTAAACAGAAGCAACAACATTATCAATTTACCAACTGTCATAAGTAGCGGAGGAATTATAGCAGTCGACCAGTCAGTGATTGATACAAGAAAATTGATAAGAACCTCATTATGAATTGCTTTTAAGATTTTTTTTATAGAGTTAATAATATGTAAGAATTTTGCTGCGAGATTCATATTTGCTGAATAATTATTTGGTTTGATTTATTGTAGTAAAGCGGATTCCATAGTTTATATAACAGTTTCAGTAATAACAACACGATATTTGTTTTTGTGTCACATTCATTCTACTACTTAAAATTCTTCAAATAAAGTTACATATTAAAGAATAAAAAGAAAATTGGAAATGTTTCAAAGATATTCACGATTATACCCTAAGAAACGCCAAAACATCCATGACTTAATCATTAGTTATAAAACATACTATATTTAGTAGTGACTTTTCTTTTAAAGAGAATATTTTAGAGTGTAATAACTTTCACATTTGATTGTCTAAAATCTACTTTATATTTAGTGTTTCTTTTATATGTGTAACTAGATTTTTTAGCGCGTACGAATAATATCGTTAAAGAAATGCGTAATCCTATTTTGGCGCTCAATAATGAACTTTTTTTTTTGACTGTACGCTGGCATATATAATTTGCTGTTTATTCATGGTTACAATAAGTTTTCTTTTAAAAGCAGCATTTATTCTATGAGATGCACATCTTTTGTAAATAAAAGCAATGCAAGATTTTTATTGTTTTTGTGCAAGGCATGCAAGATTTGATTAGTACGTAATGTACGATGTAAGAAATCTAAAACTAAAGACAAAAACATAAATTAACGTCAAATATTTTACAAATGATATTCATGATTTTCGCGGAGATATTTATTTTTTTAAATAAATAAATAAATATCATCACAGAAAAAACCCTGGAGATGGGTAAAGTGTGCATGATTAATTGTAGATAAGGAGTAACGTAAATATGAGATCGGCAAAATGTATATGCTTTGTAACCTATAAAATTAAATTATCGACTCCCAATATTATTATATTAAATTTGGTTAATTGTGGTTTTAAATTTCTTGTGCCGTATGTAACAAAATCATTATTCTTTTTTTTTTTTTTAGTATAATTAAGCAACATACAGAACAGATAATTGACTTATTAAGTTCATTTTAATTTTTTTTTTTTTTTTTGAGAACATAAGGCCGGGTAAATATTCATTATATGTAAAATACAAAATACAGAACTATCAAGCTTTAGATAATCCCAGAGTAACAATAGATAGAAAAAGACAAGACTTTATGATGCATAATTCTGAATTTAACATGATTTCATTTTACAACTTATACTTTTGTCTTATCCATTGGTTAACTTAGAGTTAATACCTCAATCCGGATATAAAAGCATTATGAACAGGGGTGAACGTCCCGAGTGCCCCGAGTTTGTAGATCGTTACACAATTAATTAAAGATTTTTTTTTATACGT